CCTCACCTGGACCTTTTTCTCTCATTCTCCATTATGTTCAATCTAGGTCCTTCCTATTGTGCTTCATAACCACATCTCAAATATTTTCTGTTTTTTTTTAAAAGGTGTATCAATGAGGTTGGCTTCCTCTCTTTTATTAATGGCAGTCTTCTTCAAATTCACTGCATAGTGGATTGTGTGTGTTTTTTTTTCTTCCAACCTTCAGTAGCTCCCTGTCAACTATAGTTAAAAGCTAAAGGCCCTTAACATGGCCTTAAAGGTATTATTGGGGTCATGTCTCTAATGGAATTTTTAAAGCAAATCCTACTCGATTCTAATTCTAGCAACATTTAACCTACAGTTATTTTCTGTGTACATTGAATGATAAAACCTTTGGTGACTTAAGTCTGATCTTTTTCCTAATACCTTTTTCTGTTCTCTACCTTTGCCTAGATCTTTTAACACATGGGATTGTCAGATAGTTCTTTACTCTGTTTTTCCATGTCCTCTGAGCTCTGAGCATCTCTACCACTTTATCAACACATAGTTCTTCAATGATGAGATCGTATCTGTGTTTGTGTCCTCGGTATTGTGTGATGTGTGTGCCACCCAAGAGGCATCTAGAGAGTGTTCGGTACATGCATGACTGAATGTTTTAGGGCCAAAGGCTTTTCTTAGTGTTCCTAGTAGAGATTTGATTCAGGTTTACTGTCATTGCACAGGTATTTTGTAAATTGATGAGTGATTAGCTATAGTTATAAGTGGACAACTAGACAGACAACCAATGCCAGCTTCTGTCATTTTTATCTTTGGTACTAGATTCACTAGGATGTAGCAACATACGTGTTGATAATCCAGTGGTTAAATAGGAAAGAAAAATAATTCTGTTCAGATAGTCGCAGGACTTTATAGCACAAAGAATACATTCTAAGGTATATACATTTTAAAAATGAGGTTGGTTGGTGCTAGGTAAATGGCTCAGAAATTAAGAATACTTGTAGGTTTTTCAAAGAACTAGGATTCAATTTCCAGTGCCCAAATGGTAACTCACAATTATCTCTAATTTCCTTTAACTTCAGAAACCCAACACCCTTTTCTGATTTCTACCAGACATGTATACAATGTGCAGACATACATGCAGGCAAAACATTCATACGCATAGAATAAAAGAAATAAAATAAAATAAATCTAAAAACTTAAACATGACATTGAAGGATTCCAGATAAGCATGTAAACTATGACATAAGAATCTGCTTTATACATGTCTGAACTATTCCACTTCAATAGACAGAAGAGTGGAACAGGCACTGGTCTAAGCAACCTCAAAATTCCCCAAGAAAAGCATTTTGTAATATACCTAAGTAGCCCTAAACACTTAATCTAGACAGAAATACAGCCTGAGAAACTATCCCAGCCAAGAGGAGTCTAAGGAGTTGTGACAACTAAATGGAACAAGGTAGAACAAAGGCCGTTAGGGTCAATGCTAAGCAAGTCAGGCCAACCTTAGCAGTCCATATTGATGCTATTCATTAGTTTATAACACATGCAATGGTCACTCCTCCTATAGACTGTGTGGAGAAGATGATGTGATAACTATAGTGAACTTTGCCACTATTTTGATTTTCCTATAAGAGTGCAACCACCCTAAAAAATGTAATGTTTATCAACAATAACAACAAAAAAAAGAATGGTAAGAAAATAATGACCAAGGCTCAAACAAAAAATATATTGCATTAACTATCTGTTGTTCTAGAAATCATTTTTCTTAATATGGAACTTGGGTAGGAAATCTTATTGCATTAACTACCCCTTGTTCTAGAAGTCATTTTTCTTAATATGGAACTTGGGTAGGAAATCTTATTGCATTAACTACCCCTTGTTCTAGAAGTCATTTTTCTTAATATAGATATTGGGTAGAAAAAATTAGCTATCCAAAATCCTACAAAGATTGTAAAAAAAACAAAAAACAAAAAACAAATTAAATCAAAACAAACAATAAAATCCCACCATTGATTCAAATGAAAAAAATACGGGAAGTTTCCTGTAATTAGACTACTGGTTTGGAACAATAATTTCCTCTAATTGGATTTGTCAAAGTGCTCCTGGAGGTCCTGATTTAATTCAGTTCAATTCAATTCAATACATGCTTTTTGCCCACCTGCTTTCTGAAAGGTCCTTGGTTTGGCAGAGAGTAGTGGATAGAAAAGCTGGGCAAGATATTCTTCCTCAACTAAAAGCCAGCCTTCATAAGAGCATAAAAGTGCTACAGATATACTCCACTGCAGAAAAAGAGAGGGATGGGGTGGGTGTTATAGCTCCAAGGAAATGGATTTACTGGAGAAGGGCACAGCATTTGTAGGGATGCTGAAGTTTCATCATTGGTTTCAGGGATACAAGGGCTTGTAGGGACTGAGAGATAAACCATGCCCAATTATGGCATGGAAGACACAAGGGGCAGAGGACTTGTAAAGGGGACACCACATTAGTGGTGGAGGTGTGCATGGGGTTTTAGTGAGAACAGAAGGAAAGAAAGCTTTGTGGCTATCATTGCTATCATTGTGTAGACAGCATTGTGTGAGACTACAAAATGAACTGTGTTAGAAGGACATGGTCACCATGTGGACGTCACATTTTTATTTGAAAAATGATTTTCTTTTCTTTTTTATTTCCTTTTTTTTTGCATTTGTGAGTATATGCCACATGTGAGGGATGACTACGGAGGCCAGGTGAGAGTGCCAGATCTTGGGAACTAGAGTTATAGGCTATAGTGAGTCACCTGATGTAGGCATCAGGCCTGTACTCCATCCTCTGAAAGAGTAGTGAAGAGTCTTAATCCCTGAGCCATCTGGTCAACCTGCAGTCACTATTCTCATCCTCAGGGACCTTCACAGTTCAAAGAGGGAGATGGTGACAATCCTGACTCAAGATACTACATGTAAACTTAGGCTCCTGGAGAGATAGTAGTGAATGGAGAATTGGGAGGTGGGGACAGGAAGGATGGCTCTAGCTGGCTGTGCTATGGGTAGGTGACCTACAAAAGGATAGACTAGCGGAAAGACACAGAGAAGCACAGTATGATCTGTTTGGGGGAATGTTAGAAAGATGGATGTTCTGCCCTGAAAGGTAAGTTCTAGTTCTCCTTTAGAGGTTGGAGGAGAAATATCATTCATTGAGTTACAAAATATGATAGGGCTTACAATGCCATTACGTTTTCTCACCAATTATCTGTCCCAAATTATTAGATTATTCTGCATTCTCCTGTGTATAATTTATCTCTGTAAAAAAGAATATGGACTCTGAAGGCAGAATATAAGTACATATCCTCCAATGGCTCATCCCCCTCAGCACAGCATTTAACATGTAGTAGAAATTTTAGGAATCTTTAATTTCATCGTCATATTTTATCCTAATAGCTATATGCCCAGTGTTTAGGGGGAATTTTAAGCATGTGCTAGAAGAATTGAACAGTGCTGAATCAAGACTAAATGGAAACAAACAGCATGTGTTATAGAGTTGTTCTGGCTTAGTAGTTTTGCCTCTAGAACAATTTTATTTGGTGTTAAAAGACAATTTAATACAAATTGTTTCAAGATGTCATATCTTAGCATATTTATAGCTGTCAATAATTAAACAACCAATAGTAAAATCACAAGCATGGATTTACAATAAAGGTTATTGGATTTGCCTCTCAGAACTGCTTGGGGTAGCATTCTCCAGACTGGCCACTCCAGTTCTGCAGTCTATTGAGCAGGACAATAATTATGGTCTTGTGACATTTTCTGTCCGTAGAGTATGTTCTGGGGATAAATACTGATAGCCAGTCCAAAGAAATGGAGGGGAATGAATGTGAAGATGGGGAAGGAAGTGTTGCATTTCATCAGTGTTATAGCAAACCAGGGCAAGGACACCTTGTATTTATTTTCAGAGAGATTAGAAAAGCAAAAAGGAATGGGGTATAAACAGCTAACCCAAGAATCCACTGAAGTGAACCAAAAAAAAAAAAATTCATGGAGATTCCTGTTCATTCTGGTGGAAGAAAGAAAAACAAGAGTAAGGAAGACTATAACTTAGGGAAATACAGACAGATACATATAGAGACAAAATATACAAAGGTAAGACAGAGAAGAGTCTGATAAGAATACATGAAGATGCTGGTAAGATGCTTAGTCAGTACAATGCCTGCCATGAAACCATGAAGACCAGGTTTGGTGGTGCACACTTGTAATCCTGGGGACTGAGGACGTAGGGAAAGGAGATCCAGTGAGCACCAGGCCAATGAGAGAATCCTTCTAGAAAGAGAAGGCAGGCAGCATCTGAAGAATGACATCCAACACTGACTTCTGGCCTCCATATGGACATGTGTATATATATTATACTGCACACATGTCAACATGAACACATACACACACATATAAAAAGAAAAGAAGAGAGAAAAGGGAGCAAGTAAAAAAAGACACTGAAATGGATGGAGTGAAAAACAGTAACATGAGGAATGCCCTTAAATGGTTATTTGTCTCATGCTTCTTTGTGTTTTTGGGTGGGGGTAGGGCAGGGGACAGGGCTAACATCTGTTGCCATATGCATTCATTCTTGTTTGTCTCAGAGATGAAAATAACAAAGAAAGAACCATCTGAAGGAAAGTGAGTTCAATAGTAATGGGTGGGCAGGGCACGCACAGGCCTAGCAGTACTACACACTCCAGGTGACTGACTCTATGTGGAGAGATAGTTATAGAACTGTGTCCCAATAAGAACTCAATTCCCCAAAGCCAGTTCACTTTGCCTGTGACTATGTGTGATTCGTATCCAGCTAGTGTTTCTCATGCTTTGGTTTGGAAACTTATTCCTTTCCTGGTCTTCCTTTAAGAATCAGTTTGATCCAGGCATGGTGCTTGGTACCTGTTATCCTAGCTACTCCTGAGGCTGAAGCTGGAGGTTAGCTCAAGTGCAGAAATTCAGAGCAAGCTCAGGCAAAACCTATATAGATGCTATCACAGAACAACAACAACAAACATTTCTTACATTAGTCTGGGTATGTCACTGACAGCCACTGTCCCATCTTGTGTCTCACTCTCTCCATCTTCCTCTTCTTCCTCACTGCTCTCAGACTCCTCACTGGAGGAAGAGTAGTCGGTCACTTTCTTCAGAGGGCGGTTTGTTTCTTCAATCCGGAGTTCTCTTAATTCTTTGGCTAATGCCGTCAGATCCTACAAGAAGAAAAATTCATAAGTGCACGAAGTATAGTTACAATCAAAGCTGTATCTCCCAGCCAGTCATTGCTTCAGCTTAAGCAACAGGAAGAAAAGAAATAAAGAAGCTCTATAGAGAACAGTGACAAACACAGTCACTGTATGGAACTACGAAAATGATGTTTGTGGTCTGTCGAAGCTAAGAGACGGGGATGAAATCAATTTGAACTTAGCTCAAAACCAATAGCTACACTGGGACTGACTATGCATGTGCATATATGTGCATGCCGTGCTGTGTGCATGCACATACATACAAACGTGGCATTTTCTTTTTATTTTGAGAGGGTGAAGTTGGTCACCCTCAGAGCTAAATGGGAAAATAAATGGGATTCAAATTTGTTCCCCAAGTATCCTGGAATTCTTGCCCAAAGCCATGATGTGGCCTTTCCTCTCTTGTGAGGTTTACTGGACCGAAAACTATCATCAATCATAGAATAGAGTAGATTGCAAGGTTCATTTGGTGTGAAGTCATTCCCCTAAGGATAAAGGTACCACATCAAATGACAGCCCACCCCAAATCCTGGCGCCAGTGAAATTTAGAGCCACAGGGAGGTTAATCAAGAGGAGCAACAAACAAACAAACAAACAAACAAACAGTTCTCTTCCAGAACAACAGGTGTTTTATCTTTAACTTTTAAATTTCAGTCACCTGGCAGAAGCCCTTAGGAGAAATGCTGAAATGAATGTGGAAACACCCAACGGAAGAGTAATTTTCCAATTTTCCATGAGGGTGATGAAACCTTGAGCCTTATGGATGTGATGAGGCGGGGCTTAGTCACCAGGCATAGTGCAAGACAGTGTGCTGAACATCTGACTACCTTTGATGGACATGCTTTCAGAGCAAGGCGGAGGGAGGCATTTCTGCAGAAGCATGGCCGCTCTACTTTGCATGGGTTAAACTGCCCATGGCACGAAGCATGCAGATGAGGAAAAAGCAATTTGACATTGGTCTTACCATTTCTCCCTATTTAGGGACCCATGTGGGAATCAGAGCATTCAGCGAGAGACAGGGAGTTAGGGAGAAAGAAACTCATTGAAAAATACTAAATCCCACAATTTTTTCTCAAAAAAATTGGCCATATTCTCTCTTTATTTCAATCCAGAAATGTATTTGTCCAATTCACCTGGTGTAGGATTAAACTCTGTGACATAGTGATGTTAGGTAATCATCCCAATCAGAAGAAAACTTATGGTAAACATGCTTAGATAATGATAATTACAATTTTGAGGCGAGCCATAGGCCACGGCTTTCCTGCACTGTGGCTGCATGTCAATCACCACGGCTTTAGTTAACACTCAGGGAGCAATCACCCTGGTGTATCACTAAGATCTAGGAAATTCAAGCTGTCAACTGAATGTGTCAGAGTCATTTCATTTTATTTTCATGTCTTGAGCAGAAAGCAGTAATGTCCTGAAGCCACCTGACTTAAGGTCCCATGAAGGGCAAGCTTCTGGAGATTCCACTGTGTGTTCTATTTCTGAATGCACTTGCTGGGACTTTCCCGTACATGCACACTCCCTCCAACACACAACTCCAGTCTCCACCGTCTGTGAAAGTGAATCTAGGATGGGATCCAAAAGGCTTAACAGTGTTTAAAGACAACATACTATGAGAGGGAGAGCCTCCTCACACACATAGAATTTTATGCAAGTATACTTCTAGTTTCTTAGGCAATGCACCCAAACCAGGAAAGGCTAGTATCTGGGTTTAGCCTTCTGCACATCTCCTCTTGATTGCTACTGATACATTTATCCTTATCAGACAAAAAGGGTATGGAGAACACACTAGATGGGCACTATGGGGACGAACTGTTGACACATTTGTCAAGACTCTGAAAGCAAGAGGACATAGCGAGCTTCCAAACTAGCAAAGAGGACAGATTAGACACATTTATTGCATATTTTGAGTTTTATAAAGTATTACTATCAAAGAATATAACTAATATTTAAAATGTTACTTATTATTAGAAACTATATTTTATTATAATTTAAAGAGAGAATATGGTTTAAAGGAGTTTGTTTCTATTATCAAAAAGTCTGAGTAAAATATACTACTACTACTATGACTTATTTAAAATACTGATACATTCCCCCTGGGGCATGGCTATCATATCTCTAACATTTCAGAACAAGATAAGAGAGAAATTAAACAAAAAAATCAAATCTATTTAGAGTTATTTAGTTAAGCCCATTACCCAATAACTTCAAGAAAGTTTCACTTGTTAAAATGATCTACATTTCCGTAAATACTGTATTTAGCAACACTTTAAAATTATGACCTGCTTTATAATTTTGGATTTAATCAGAATTTTTTTTTTATTTCTGTGTTATTAAAAAGCTCTTTCCTGAAACATTAAAAATAAATGCAAATCTATTTTCAGTTTAATTGGTAGCAGTGTGGAGAGTGGTACACTGATGAACATTTCAAGGTAGCAGTAATGAGTGATCAAACATGATCCCCCAAAGAAAATTAATCTCCCATTGCCAGTAGCCTCTGTGGCCAGCTGAACTTTGGGTTTTTGTCTGTTCATTACAAGTAAAATGGGTGATATCAACGTTGCAGAAAATAGACATGAAGCAATATTGCCACTACTGGACTCAGATCCTTTTCGGAAACTTTATCCTCTGACAATTCCAATTTCCTCTGTATAATGAGCCTTTTATGGTAATTTATTGCTTGGTTGTCTCAAGCCTGAAGCTAAAAAGTATTAAAAGGTGGGGGGTAGGGGTGGGGGAGGAGATAAAAGTGCTATTTAGCATGAAAATATTTGAGGACACATTCACTAAAAATGAAATATGGCATAATCCTGTGCTTTAAAAAGAATCTTTTTCTGCAGTGCCAATGTGAAGGTGAAGGAGGCTCACCTCTAAAGGTGTCTCGGGTGTAGCATTTCTCAGCTTCTCCGTACCTTAACTTTTTGTCCTGATAAACTTGTTTCATCTGACAGTCACATAGGTCTTGCTTCAAAATATGTTCATTTAAAAAAATGATATAACCAATTTAAATTTTTCTTCAACTTATTGAGCCATTATATTATTAAAGAATTTTAATCTGGTCTTTGTTTTTTGTGTTGCATTTACCCCTTTTTAGGAAAGCTACAAGAATATGGTCTCAACACAGATGGACTCATCTGAGGGAAAAGAGCCCAGATTATTAATTATTACTTAAGCTTCAACTTATCTATGGATAATTTTTAGAAATTGTCAGTTTTATTATCATTTTTATACCCGATTTCAAAACAAAACAAAACAAAAAACAAACAAACAAAAAACCCCCCAAAACTCCATACTGCTAAGGTTTGCTTCGTCACTTAGACTTCAGGCCACACATTCGGTTACGGGAAAGTAAAAGGTTTTGTTTTCAAAAGTTTTAGTAACTAACTGCAGCTTTGTGAAATTTCACAGTGCACTGGGAAGTAATGCCAAATTAACAGCTACCCTTTGTGATTTATTGCTATGAAAAAATTAAACTAAGAAATAAGAAATAAGTTTTTAAAAGGTGTTTAAAGAATTTTTTCATTTCATTCTGGGTCATCCAAGTAGGAAAACAGTTACAGAAGGAGATGGGAGCTAAAACTGAGGTCATGATTTCCCAACCCAGCACCTTCACCATTTGAGGCCAGAGATGTTTTATTGTGAGGAATTCCCCTGTGCAGTGTAGGATGTTTAGCTCCACCCCTTTTAGGAATTGGAGAATGTTTAGCTCCACCCCTTTAAGGAATTGGAGGATGTTTAGCTCCACCCCTTTTATGTATCACAGTTGCCAGCAGTGTTGCCTCCCACTTAGCAAGGCTAACAACTAAAGCCCAGCTCAGATTTGCTGAATAGCTCCTAAGTGGAAGATGGGTAGCAACCACAGCTAAGAACCACTGGAGCTGGCAGTCCCATCTTCCTATGTTTCAGAGGTCCAGGTCAGTGATAGTCAATGGCCAGGATGTCAGTTCACTGAGGGCATTTGCTCTGATCTACAGCCCCAGAGGTCTGAGCATGAAGTTGCCCCTTTCATCTCTATCAGATTGTGGTAGAACACATCAAAATAAATGAAGTGATTTTCAAAAAGCCTAGAACATGCAGGGTTACCAGAGGAAACCTGGGAGAGTCTTTCCTCATGACAGCCACCTCCATGCTAATCTCTGGACTTGTGGAAGCCCTTAAATTATTCATAAGAATTCCACTTAATTGGCAGCTGTGGTATCCAGCACCAGAAAATTTTCTCTCTTTTCCTTCTCAGGGCAACTGATAAAAAGTTGTGACAGCCCCTCTATCCTTGTTACTACTGTGAGGGAAAAGCAAGACCATGGAGCAGAGTGGTTATAACCAGTCCCTGTGCTGTAGACACGTGGAGTAGCATTACTTTATAAACAGCAACCCCTTAACCAGGAGAGTGACTTTCTGACTCACTGTGAATGGTGTTGTGGTCACAGGTGTGGCGAGAACCAGCTCCAGAGAATCACGTTACCCTACTTGCAAAACTAGTACTGTGCCTACAGCTCAAACCTGAACAATCACAGTGGCTTCTATAGCACGCTTTACTTTAAACAATGCCTTTGCACACAGGACCTTAAGACCCTGAACTATCTTGTAGGTAAAGGAGGGCAGACACTTCTGTTCCCATTTTACAGATTACTAGATTTAGACCCATTGTACATATTACTGAGATTATGAGACTTATCCCAGCCAGCATTCATTGAAGGGGGCCAAGCTTCAAATGTAGCTTGCTATTCCCTGAAGCCAGTGCTTTTTCCATAAAATTTCACAAAAATATACTTTGCAGAGCTCCAGCCTCAAAGCCGTAACAGTGAGCCTCCCATTCCATGCATCTGGGACCCTTGCAAGGTTTGCCTGTTCAGAACCATTGCACTGTGCTGCATTCATGCAGGTCTGACAAACAGCAGTGGGCCAGTCTTCCTTCTCAGCAAGCTATCTTACAAGGGACATGGCCATCTATTTTTCTAATGGAAAATGTCTCCACAGATAAGGAAATACATCACTTAACTCACCCAGATTCATTAGCTAAGGTTGATGTTGCTGCTTATGGTGTTGTTAATGTCCCACAAAACTAATCTAACAATACCCAGTATCTCCTTGTTCACAAATTACACACTATAAATTTGGGATGTGCTAGAATTATGTCTCTGTGTTGTTAGTAAAACTGCTGTGGGCAATCTCCTAGCAAGGCTGGAAAATACAAGTTATTTTAGAAGGTACTGGAAGGAGAACCCACACTACTAACAAAACACTGATACCTATTTTTTGCCCAGTTGAGACACTGAGAAAGCAATATTATTGCTTATTTATGGATAGGTCTGAGGGTCTCAGGTTGGATTCTATTGAAGGAGTGCTCCTCCCCCAAAACAAGGGTATGTATAAGAGGACTTTTCCCATGATCCTATTGGCTTCCTTTCTGAATGTCAACATCAGGAAATAGACTCAATATTCACATCTTATGAAAGCATGACCAAGAAAAGGCAGTACTAACCTCATCTATAGCTTTCTTATAGCTCTGTGGCAAGAAGAACCCAATTCAGAAGAATCCACAGTCAGGAAAAAGCCAGAAGAAAAGAAGCAGGTAAGACACAAAATTGGCATTGTTATTAGAAAACTGATACAGACAGACAGGCAAAGAAAAGCTCAGGCCAGAACAAGGCAAATCCCCTTTGTTGTTACTTAGCACTTCCTACTTTAAGATGCAAAAACTAGTAAATGAGAAGCATTCATTCACAGGACAGCATCTGCAAACATCCAAAGTAAGTTTCTACTTTCAGCCAGCATGCTATTTCCTTTCCTTTCCTTTCCTTTCCTTTCCTTTCCTTTCCTTTCCTTTCCTTTCCTTTCCTTTCCTTTCCTTTCCTTTCCTTTCCTTTCCTTTCCTTTCCCTTCCCTTCCCTTCCTTTCCTTTCCCTTCCTTTCCTTTCCCTTCCCTTCCCCTTCCCCTTCCCCTTCCCCCTCCCCTTCCCTTCCCTTTCCTATCCTTTATCTCTTTCTTTCATCTATCTCTCTATCTCTCTATCTCTCTATCTCTCTATCTCTCTCTCTATCTATCTATCTATCTATCTATCATCTATCATCTATCTAACTTATCTATCATCTATCTATTTGAGACAATGTTTCATGTATCCTAGGCTGGCTTTGAACTTATCATTCAGCCAATGATGACTTTGAACTTCCGGTATATAACATCATGCCTGTGTTATGTGGTACTGGGGATTGAATCCAGGGCTTCAGGTGTGAATAATGAGCACTTAACCAACTGAACTATATTCTTATCCCAGATCCATTATTTCTTTAAAGCTACTTGGTATCAGGCCCAAGGGAAACTCCACACCCTCAAACTTTGGCACCCCAACCAAAGTAACCATTTCCTTATCACTGTCAGAAGGGACAAATGGCTATCTATGGTGTCTGCTAGCATACCAAAGGTCAAGCTGGCCTCCAGGCTCCCTCAGTCTCACACGTACCTGTGGCTATCCTAAACTCTCCAACCCATGGACTTCCCTTCCCTACCTTCTCATTCCTACATAACCCTGCCTTTTCAGCTATGTCCTCTTTTGTCTTCCCCTCCCTCTCCTCTCTTGGTCTCCTTTTGCCAGCACTCCATTTGTCTTCCTCTCTCTCCTTTGCCCTTCTTTCATGATCTAGTACAGTCTTCTGGCCATTATTACTTTCTTTTCCTGCTTTGGACTCTTCCAGATGCCTCTGACAATTCTCTCCTTCATAGCTACAATAAAAACCTTCCCCCCAACCATACCATGGAGCTTTCCTGTCCTCGGTTCACACATCTGATGCTAAACCCACAGTTTATACACTTGGGTCCTTCATTTTCCAGCAATGAAGCTGGACAGCAAGTTCCCAGGCCCTGTGTCACACCATGTATGTTATATTTTGGTCCAGAAAAGATAGTCCATAAGGCGTGACAAGTAGCAGAAGACTGTAATGATAGTTCATGTGAAATCCAGCATGGAGTCTGGATGAAGCAACTCACAGGAAGAGCCCAACGTTCAGAACTGCTACTTTTAACATCTTTTTTTTTTTTTTTTTGTCAAAGAGTGATGAGCAAATATTGTGGGATGGTGTGAGCTAATTTCTTTCTTTCTTTTTTTTCTTACTAGAATGTTGATGAGCAATAAAAGCCCTCAGATCAGAGGAAGCACCCTAAGAGCCACTCTGTTCTTTCGCCATCATGAATGACTTTCTTCTAGGTGCTTCTAGCACACAGTGCTCCTACTCATCCCTCAGTTTTTGCTTTGAGTCATGAAGGCAACCCTATCTACATCATCTTGGGATCCCTAGGTAGAGTTCCAAATCCTTAGAAAGAAAAGGACTCACAGCTGGCCGACTGGGTCGAGTGATGTCTCTGGATTCTTCTGGTTTCACCTTGGAAGGTTCATGGGGGAGCACGGGCGATCCTTCTGACTTACTATTGGCTGGAGGAGAGAACAAGGATGAGGTCATTAGAAAAGCCTGTCTGGCATTCTGAGTGAGTGACTAGGAAAAGCGTACTCATGGGGCAAACCCATATATATATCTCCATGGGAAAACAATAAATGCTCAGAACAAAAGCAGACAACGTAGGCCTGAAACCGAATGAGAATCTGCAGCAAGCACTGCACACAGTCACCACCATTTACCAAGATCTTACTGTGTCTTAGGCACAGGATGCTATGGCACCATTTTATTATTCTCCAGGTGAGTATAGACTAGAGGGATGATACACCAAGCTCAAGGTAACAGTGAAGCAATGGATTTAGTTGGGAATCCTTCTGAATTTTGAATGGCCTCTTAATCATTATTTCAAATGAGCTTCTAAATTAAAATTCTAGGCTTGTTTTCTTCTTTTATCATCTATTCATCAGAATAGGCTATTCTGATTGAAGTTTATGAAGAATAAAAAAAGAGTTTTATTTGATGGCATGGGTCTTAAAAGGACATCTGAGAAGGGATCTGAGACCTTTAAGGAAGAAAGAATGATGCAGGATCAGGGAGGTGCTGATGATAAAGGCTGGAGAATAGAGGTGTAGAGCAAGAATGGGGGAGGCTGCCTGCAGCCGCAGAGCAAGAGCTGCTGTGGTACTTATGGCCTAGGTAGAGCAGTAGGAAAGCTGACAGCTTCTTGTTTGGTTTTGAATTCCCAGGCAGGGATGGCTTATAATCAGAAGTAGGGAATGAAGGAAAGAATGTACGAATTAAGTCTGAGCTAGTTCAGAGAATTAAAGTGGTGTGGGTAACAATGACCATCTTTACAAAGAATCCAATGAACTTTAAAAATGTTGATGGAATAGCAGTTGCCTGGATCAGTGCCCAGGAGACACACAGGACTTGGGGACAGGCCACCCATGTCAGGAATAGTGAGTCAGTTGTGGGGCAATCTGAGTCTCAATGCCCAGTTGTGGGTGCCAGATGTTAGATTTCAAACTTAAGAAAGTTGCATATACAGAGGTTTTACTTAACTGAAATGTAAACCATTACTAGAGGAGGTAAACTGTGGTTGTGTCTACTCAAGGGACCGTGAAGGAACTAACTAGTGGTTTTCTTCAGGAAGACTGACTTATCAGCACATTAATATTTATCAAATTGTACTTCAGAAAGCCTAGAATTAATTACTTGTGAGCAATTTTATCTTCTGAAGACGATGACTCAGAAACAGTGAATTTCAACTTGTTAGAACAGTGTTTTGCTAGGTATTAATTATATTATAGTCTTTCCATGTTTTTTTTTTTCATTACTGAAAACTAAGCGATGCAGAATGCTTTGAATTAAATATGAGGCTATATATTTTACTTATCTAGAAGGAACAGCCAGAAGAGTCAAACATGTGTCTTTACGGCAAAAGTATTTCTTTTTCTCTTGTGTATTTATTTTATAGTGGTTTTTAGGAAAATTCATCTTGAGACATACCTAACGTTATAATGCATATTAGGATCTTGGAAGGGATGTCTGGTACCATGGGAACAAGATGATGGGGCACATGAGACTGGAAATGAGGGATCAAACAGAAATGAACATTTGGGAGACTGGAAGGTCCCCAATATTTTGTAGTCACAAGTAATTTGTAGTAAGACCACTAGATGGAGATCTGTCTGGGAAACACTGGAAATTGAAATTTTATATAGATATACAGGATTGGTACTCACACTCTGATGTCACATGCACAATTAGGGATGGTAGTCCAGTCCCTCAGGAGACACAAACATGAGCAACGAGATAATTTTCAGTATCATCCAACAGTGGCCACCCTGCTGCCAGAGTCAGGAAGTAACCCTCTTTTTATCTCTGGCTTTCCTCCCATGTGTGACAGAATGGAAGGGGGAAGAGAACACTTTACCCCGAACTCTGGTTCGTTCACTAGATCCTGCTTGTGATCCAGGCTGAGAGCCTCCTTGGGAGCTGGGCTGGGAGCTGGGAGTGCTGGAGCTGGAGGAACTGCCACTGCTGGTCCGCTGCAAGGAACTCTCCAGGACTGGCTCGGTCCTGCGGAGATCGGGGTTGCTGCAGGGACAGGAGAATACAACAGGTCAACATCCAAACATACAAGGCACTCACGTAACAACTCAGAAGCAACAAATAAACAAGACTTTAAATATGAGCTCTGGAGGGTCTGAATAGACATTACAAAAAAGACACAAAAGACCATATGTAAAAACACTCAGCAGCACCTTACGTTATTAAAGTGGTTTTCTCAAAAAGACCAATGAATGCTGAGGCTGTTGAAAAAGGAAATCCTTGCCCTCTCTTGGTAGGATGCAAATTAGTATATCCATGATGGAAAGAGGAGTCCTCTAAGAATTATAAAAAGATCTATGACATGACCTGACAACTCTGCTTCTGGGTGTGTTATCTATAGGAAATGAGGTCTCTGTGTGGAAGAGATGGATCCACTCACTGTGTCTATCCCTAACAGCAAACTTTAAAATCAACAGATATCCACTGATGCACTAGCGGGTAAAGAAAATATGACATGGCTTTACATATGGAGCACATACATATTCTGTACATATGCCAAGCACACGAGAAGACACGCCCTGCATGGGTATCTGGGTCTTATATATGGATAGGCACAACTCAGAGTTGCAGAGCAGACAGTGAGGATCAGCAGCAGCTGTGGGGTTTGCTGTGGGGACAACAGGATGTAAGCAAAGAAAGGTTTCAGTTAGGATAAGCAAGCTTTGGAAATCTATTGTACACTGTGGTGCCTTTACTTAATATGGATGCTTAAAGCAGAATCTTTTTGAGAAATGATTTCATTTTATAGACTCGTTTTATAGAATACTACAGTACTACAGCCAGGTTGAAGAAGATCCTAAATGTCTTCACCACAAACCCCACTAACTATTCATTTCACAATGTGTGTGTGTGTGTGTGTGTGCGTGTGTGTGTATGTGTTACATGGTACACATAAATACACGTAATTTTTATCTTGTATACATTAATAAGGTTGTGGGGGTAATGTGCTATTGCTAGAGACTTCTGAAACCCTGCATTCGAGGTTCCAAAGGAAGACGGAAGCCAGGCCTTCCTGGTGTAGCTATAAGCAGATGCTGGGTGGGCAGGGAATGAGCTTTACACTCAATTCTTGGGTCATCAGGCTGAAGCAGTAGCTCTGTGATGAGGAACTGGAAGAGGAGGCCTTCCTTTAAACAGCATCCCAAGTATTCTTTTCAAAGAACTTGAAATCAATGAAAGGGGAAATAAAAGGAACAACACGTGCAATTCCCAAGCCGGAAACAGTCAACTATATTTTACAGTTTGGAAATTTATCAAATATTCAATTTTGTTTCTTACTTTTTTCCCCCTAACACTGTAGAGGATAGAAAAAGTATTGTGAGCACTTTCTTATGTTCTGAAGAGTTCTGGCTAAAAAACAACCCATCATATAGACAAATTAGTTTGGTAATTCCTCTCCTATTAGTCATTTATGAGGCTTCCATCACATTGCCTTGGCAAATAACAAAGAACTAGCCATGTGCCTGCACACTTAAACTCAACTCTATTTGTTTATAGTATTGGAAGTCTTGGTTGAAAGGTCCTGAACTCTGTGAACAAACACATGTATGCAAGTATATAAAAGCAGTAGTACTTTTCACTGTAGTCTATGTGATCATCTTTCTTTTTGAAATTTTGCTCATCCACAAGTGTATGTGTGTGCGCGCGCGCATGCATGCATGCATGCATGTGTGCATATGCGTGTGTGTGTGTGTGTGTGTGTGTGTAGGTGACCAGAAGTAGGTATCAGACTCCCTGAAGCTGGAATTACAGGTGGTTGTGAGTTCAGTGTGGATTCAGCATCCACCTGATGTGGATGCTGAGAGCTGAACTCTAGTTCTCTGTAAAAACAGCAAGTGTTCCTAACTGCCGAGCCATCTCTCCAGCCCCTCATGTCTACCTTTTTTAACCACAAAGAGCAGCGTGCATTCATGTACTCAGCACTATCTTAGTGAGAATGGTCAGGCAGTTGAGATAGATGAGTGCCAGGACACAGTGCATGTGCCCTATGGATCTAGCTAGGAACACAGTTCCTTTCATTCCTGCTTAGCCTCCAGTGAAACACATGATGATAGGTAAACATGAAGAGGAAAGACCAGCAATGCTGGTTGCTGACTTTTATATGATTTTGTTAAAAAACAATAATGAACAGCACAGTTGCTGAGAGGGGAACGGCAGCAGAGCACCCGTCATCTCTATCACTTGCGGCATCTCTAGTTCTCTATCCTGAGAACACTGTTGTGAGTGGAGACACACAGTGCTGTGGTTCAGACACAGGGAGGTGGTGGTTAAAATGTATTATTATGTTTTCATTTGGTTTGGCTGGCTCAAGAGCACCAAGTGTGCGCTAGGTTCTAGGCCATATGTTGGGTATTGGATGTGTCCCATACAGAATTGAAAATAACAGGTCCTCATACTGAGGCATTTGTAGCATACCCTACCAATGGCCTTGCCATCAAATATCCAATGTTGTAAGCAAAAAATAAGCAACATAATCTTTTTTTGTTAGTTAGTTTTTTTGTTATTTGTTTGTTTTTTTGTTAGTTTTTGTTAGTTGATATTTTAAAAAGATAGCATACAAAAGCAATGGGCTTCATTGTGGTTCTTTCACACAGACTTTTAAACCACCTATCTCGCTTTGTGGTAATGTATCAGCCCAACTCATGGTTGTGTAGAAGTGGCTAGCAACCATGATTAACTTCAGTTGTGAATTTTATGTAAAAACAGTCATATCTCACAATTCATTAATAATGATGATATAAATTTAGAAGTTATGACAATATTACAGCTTTTGTGGGTGCTAAGTCAACTTAACAGTAAAGCCAACTTCAGAATGGCTGTTGGTGAAATTCATGAGAATCAAGAATTCTTTCTATAGTAATGGCATTCCTTAATGGACAGTAACTATTCTTGTAGGAACTGTTTGTATCTAAGGGGTTGAAATAAATTTAGAACCCAAATGCAAATACCCTAAATTAGAAAATACTTAGAATGATAAGTGTTTCTTTCCTAAGTATCTTACATTATAAACGTGTTACTTTTTATAGAAAACAATTGTCTCTAATTCTTAAATAGTGACTTATCTTCTGCTGCTCTCTTTTATCAAACAATGGTGGTCAGTGAGTTATCAATAAGTTCTCAAATTATCTGTCATAAAACATATTACTAACAAATATTTTATGAACTGAGAGTAGTAGAAGGCACTGAAGTTACTTATACTGTTCTGATTCTGTGGGATGATGATGTCACCTTTGTTTTTAAGAAACTATTGAGAGAATGGTGGTGCTCCATGCTTTGAAATGTCCTCTGTGGTGGCTGTGGTGTGGTGACAGCAGTCAGTTACTTCATCTATTTAGCTTCCCTTTGATGCTTCAATAGGAATCTTGTTGGCTCACGCCTAAATTGAGTCCTGGATCAGGAAAAGGGTGAGAGAAGGTCAGACCAGGAGACAAGACTGTACTTGATGTACAGTCAAGTGACATCATCATTATGACAATGAGATACATATGCAGAGACAATAGTTAACAGGTAAATGCCATTGGTATTTGGGAAACTTTCATGCAAATTGAAGGGTCATGGGTGGTGTTATATAGGAGTGAGACCTACTGGGACTTGGCATAGTATCAGAAAGGCTGGCATAGTCCGAGTGGAGACCAAAGCTGGTGTTTTTCTTGTGCACGTGGATGCATGTTTAGAAGAGGCCATCAGAATATCATCAAGTTTGTGGTAGGAAACAGGAAGTACTGATCAGAAGGGTGAGTTGGATGGTACTCGCTCTTAACGCTGTCTGCCTCCCATCATGGGCCTAGTGTGGGAACCTGGCTAGGGGAAGAGGATGAACAGACAGAAGGCTGTGGGCATGTTAGGGCGCTGGCTATTTACAGACCTATCTGGGATGCATCTTTGATGAAGCTTGGAGCTTCTTCCTGTGTGAGGCTAATTAGATCCCATGAGCATTTGATTCCTGACTTGGGCCTCGTTAGCACAAGCCCTTTTGACACCAACTCACTATCCCACGTGCTGATTGTATTAAGTTGCTATTCTTGCTGCTGCCCAGTAAAAGAAATACTTAGTGTTTCTGAAACCAAATGGAGAAACGGGAACTTTATGGTTTTTTTCTACCTTTTTTTTTTTCTTAAAAATATGAGCAATGTGAGACAATGTCATATGATATTTTTTTTCTTTTTGTTATGTATGTATGACTTGCCTTATGGGCTGAGGGCTCTCAGATACATATTCATAGAGATTCAACTTCAGAATTCCAATAAATATAGATTTCCCTTGTTCACATGTTAACTAGAACTACTTGGATGTAAGCAGGAAAGAACGTCAAAGTATCCAAATACTTTTCTTTAAATGCTAAATTTAAGTTCATGCTTTTTCTATCCAGGAAACAATGACAAATATTGAAGGATTACGTGGCAATTATCCTATCTACTTGAACTGTGTAAAAAGTCAAAACAGAAAATGAGAATTACAAATGTGATTTTGTGTCCAAAGCCTTGGGCCAAGTCTTTAATTAACTGGCTGACTGCCAAATTCTCTTTACATTGTTCTTTGGCGACAAGGGCAATAAGAAAAAACTAGTCATAAGAAGAAAGGTTTGGGATGGAACAGGGAATTATTTTCTGAGATTAATCATTTAATCGTTTTTTAGACTGTTTCTGTATTAATTTAAATCTTTTCATGTTCTAAAAGTACTTGTCTGAGCATATTTTAATTTGTCTTAAGAAGCATACATGAATCAAACTAAACATTAAAGAGTCCAGAAGTTTAACAGCAATAGTTCTACATGATGGAATACAATTGTTATTTAAACTCTTCTGATCACCCTCGATGAGACCATTGCATCCAGGAGCATGTGGGGCCTGCTGTGGATCGTGAGCTTAAACAATTTCCCCCTAGTTTCACGGGGAGGAGGAACAGCACAGGACACTGGGCCACCACCCACTTTTACCTCTAGAAAGGGAGCTGATGAAAGCATGAGATGGCTCTGTTCCTAGGTGAGTGGGGGCATCTGAGAGCCAGAAAAGTTCCATAGGATCACATCTTTTCAAAGACAGTGAAGGCAGCAGGGTAGAGCCAGTGCCTTCAGGATTATGAGGGACTGTTATCGGACCTATAAACTACAGGGTGAGAAAGTCAGAGACAAAATGTGTCCTACCAGTGAGTCAGGGGTTCCCTGGGCAGGCTACCAGAGTTCAAATCCTAGTCCTGCCACTTCTTCTCTGACACTTGGGGCTGTTTGTTTGAGCTCTGTTCCCTATCTATAAAATGAGAGTGGTGGAAGGAAGCCATTGCTTTGGAATCACTATATGCGTCGAATAGTTAGTATCTGTAATTCTAGTTGGCAAGATGGCTTAGTGGGTAAAGATATTTGCTATACTATTATGTCAACCTGAGTTCAGTCCCTGGATCCTACTGATAACCAACTCTACCAACATGTCTTCTGACCTACACACACACACACAAATAATTTAAAACTATTTGTGATACAATGAAGATACTATGTCATACATATAAGTGCTCCAGAGGTGTTTATTAAATTCTGAAATAACAAAAAGAGAAGGCAAGGTACTGAAAGGCCTGCCACAAATGAAGAATGGGTCTCCATTGGATTGCAGCTCACCATAATTGGCTGGGCTGGAAGACCACACCAGGGAACCGCAGGGATGCTCCAGTCTGTATTTACCCACTGCTGGGATTCTAAGCACATTATCACACCTGATATTTTTACATGGAGTCTAGGTATCAATCTTACGCTTTCTTTAAGTAAGTAAATTTATGTACTGACTCCCAAGCAAGATAAGAGAGACAAGACCTCATTTGTCTCCCGTGACATATGTAGCCCAAAGAGCATGAGGTACACTTGGACCTAAGACTTAGTCCCAAGACCACATATAGTCTTGCACTTAGCATGGCATTAACCTATATTAATTAAGTGTAGCAAATGAAACAACAAATAACACCAAATGTCTTGAGTCTATTCTCTAGTAAGCTGTGCAATTTTCACTGATATACTCTCAAAATGTTCTAGTTTTGATAAAGAAATATGTTGGGGTTACATTGTGTGAAGGTGTGTCTCTGAATATTCAATTGTTAATTCTGTACCACCAGAGAGCTAAAGGCTGTCCAGAGTCTGGTATTGCCATTTCTATGGTTCATTACTGTGGTCTCTACTTTGTAAATATTCGTTCTCTCTCACCTACCTAAGGCAATCTAGTATGTATCAGAGATTATCTCACACTGATTGGCTGGGGGCTTGGGGGCTGGAAGAAGAGATGAGATGCTGAAGATTCATCCAGAAGACACAGAGGTGAAAGACTAGAGTACAATAGTAAGGTAGAGCTAGTCATATGGCAAGATGTAGACTAGTTAGTTGGGTTAAGTTTAGAGTAGCTGGGGGACTGGCCTAGCTAAAAAGCTTAAGTTATAAAATACTAAAAAGAGTCTGTGTCATTATTTATATCACTGGCAGGTCTGAGTAAGTCCTGCTATAGAAATAAAAGAAATATTGCCCAAGCATAAGAAATACCGCTTAGAAATATTGTAAAACAAGATACATCACTTAAAAACACCCCCCCTCCTTTAAAGGCTTCACTGATGAGTGACCATCCTTTGATGCATAGCAACAGAACTGTGAGGAATAAGGGATATGGGAAGTTTCTTTCCATGCCCAGGGCTTGGCCATAGGACCTACCATGATGCAAGAAGATGACCTAAGCAAAGGCTTCAAAAACCCTGTGCATTTCATGTTTTTGCTTCCCTTTGGAATTCTGACCAAATTGGCAGCTCAGGGAAGTGGTGTGAGTGAGCTCAGAGAAGCAGAACCTCATGGTTCACTTGCAGAACGGTGAGAAGTAAATGACAGCCAACCCCACCAGCAGAGGTGAAGGAGCCCAGGGCATCTATCTCCCAAGATAGCTCATTCAATACAGTACTCACTGTGTAAACATGATGACCTAAATTTGGAGTTTCAGTATCCACCTGAGAAGTGTAGTAGCACCATTTGCAATCCTAGTACTGGGAAGGCAAGGACAGCAGGATCTCTGGGGCTTGTTGGCTAGCTATCCTAGTTACATCAGTGAAATCTAGGTTCAACGGGAGACCCTGCCTCAAGAAATAAGGTGGAGGGGCATAGAGAAAGATGCTGGACATTGATGCCTCTACATACCGTGACAAGCTTATGGCAGTCAGAGGATAGCTTTATAGACTTTCTATCCTTCTAATTTCATATGGATTCTGGAGATAAAACTTGGCTTACCATGCTTATATAGAACTTGTCTTTAACTGCTTTCCTGAGGCACCTCATCAGCTCATTGATTCACAGATTATGTGCTGGTTATATAGCGGTGACTACTGGCCAAAGCAAGGCTGTTCTGTTGATTGCCTCCCAAGAAGAGATGGGGATTCTCCACCCTCTCACCCCAAATCTTTCTGATGTTCATTGCAGGTAAATAACTGCACCCTCTTAGCTCCCACCTCTCTACTGTAAGTAGAAAGGTGCTGGCCATCTCTCACAAAGTTTACATTCCTTGCACAAAATAGAGTATTCGAGTGCTTCAAGGGAAACAACCTTTATCTTTTATAAGTTACTGGTCATAAAACACCTGTTATCTTAGGCCCTAATGACATTAAAACAATTCAGAGGAATTAAATAGCGGCTTTTTGCTTGCTTATAACAGCAAGTTTTTCTTTTTGGTTGACAGGATAAAAATTACTTCAGGTTGGGATGATGCATGATCTAAACAGCCGGATTCCAAGCAACTGATCTAATGAAAATATCTTCTAGGGCTTGTTCAACAGATCAGGAGGTACTGATGACTGGGGACTGAAAGAAAGGGGTTGGTGACACAGCAACACATGCAGTGTTAGTATGCTCTGGTCCCTGGCCAAAGCACCTTCTAGTTAACCGGAGATTGCTTAACCACACCAGCTAGACACAGATTTGTCAAGACTCAGAGGAGGTTCACAGACTCCTACAATTTGTATCTCTACTTAGAATGAGGCTGGGATATTTCTTCTCCAGAGATTCTAAGTAGAATATTTCCTCCTTTTTGGAATGATCCTTTCCTAAGGCCTTTCAAGAAAAGACTCAGCAAATGTGTTAAGATAAAAAGCATTTTGTATACAAGCAAAATAATAAGCCCCCTGTCCTTTTTCCTCCTCTCTCTCCCCCTCCCCCTTCATGGATGCTCTCTCATTATGAAAACGATGAAGAAGAAGGCAGCCTGCCCTCATGCATCCTTTTATAGCCTCAGCAGAGGCTGTTTGCTATTTCTGTGGATCCTAAAAAAGGATGTATTCATCATGACAAATCTGAGGGAAACTTGATGAACGACAGCAACAAACAGCATCTGTTGCCACATAAAGTCTACCCAGATACTGTGTAGATACTGCTTACTTCCCAGCATCCTTTGAGACCTCTGCCCTAACAAGTGGAAGTTGAATGCAACCTCCTGATTATAGGAATATGCATGGTAGAAGGAAAATTCTGGAAGAACATAAAGTAAATCGTGGAAGTATGACTGAATATCAGAGACCCTCTATAATGCCACTGGGATGATTTCCTAATCAAAGCTGGTCCTGTACATACTAAGCTATAGAATTTCTGCAGTGACTTACTGTTTCCTAGGCAACAACTTTGTTATGCCTCACTGGTTCTTGGGACAAACTTCTTGACCTGATATCACAATGCAACTCTAATTTCTTACTTCTAGCTCCATGAATGAGGTCTCTGAGGCAATGGTTTGCAATGCTGCAACCACATCTGTATTTCTAAATTTGTGCCCAGATTTAAAAACCTGTCATATTGAAACTATCGAAAGGCCACCAAAACTGACAGTCCAGGTGACAAGTGCATATGCTTGAGAAGTGAAGAAAAGATCATAGACATAGCAGGCATCTCAGATAATCGTGGTGACCTCCTTCCCCTTACCTTGCTCTGATAGGCTGAGATCCGAGTCTGGGGCCCAATGCACTGCCGTTCCCAGGGGAATTCTTTCTGGCTAGTGCTGGGGATATAGAAGTTGTTCTTTGAGGCACCTGGAAGAGAACCAGAATTCAGAAACATTTCCCATACCACAGTGTAGGAAGGCTACTGTCTGAGGAGCCTCCTCTCTGAAGACTGGTTAGAAGTTACAGATACTGCCTTGTCCATGAAAGAACTGTATTTTATGTTTCAGTGAAACTGTAAACTCCTGAAACAAAGCCCAAGGAGGTTCTGCTGTCAAAAGTCAAGGAGGCACGTTCCATAGTCATAAGGTCATTATAATCTCAGAAACAAAAGTCAGATTGCACTAATGACATCGGCCTACTGATCTATTAGAAAATACCTCTTGTTTGGGCAAGAGTAGACGAAAGGAGGAACCTCTTTGGAGTGCTTTACTCCCTTGGAAGTTGCATTAGGTGGGAGTCATGCAGAAGGAGTAACATTTAGCTCATCACAATGAACAAATAGATTATGAACTCTAGTGAAAAACTGGGGTACAAGTCTAGACCTCAGACAATAAATCACATACTGGGGAGCCCAGAGAATCTATTACTATATTACTTCTTTTTAAATATTTGTGTCTGTGTGAGTCCATGTATGTTATACATGTATATATGCACATAGAACATATATGTGCTGGGTGCCCATGGAAGCTGGAAGAAGGCATCAGATCTCTGAGAACTGGAGCTCCAGGTAGTTGTGAGCCACCCAGTGTTTGTGTAGGGATATAACCAGGGCTCCCAAGAACAGAAGAGCTCTAGCCACTGGCGAGTTCTGCAGGTCTATCACTCTTAGAACATGAAAACATAGATGGTTTTTCTTCCTAAGCAAGTTACTATTGTTAATCAAAATCCTAAACAATGTGTGTTTTGTTGTTAATTAGTAAATTATTATGTATAAAACAGGATTAATATTGAAAATACTGGAAGGGTCTTCAAAATGCCTGTTTAAATATAAAAGAGTGAGAAGTGCAGCAGAAGTCTGTATTCCTAGCTAAACTGAGCACCAAGTATAATTCCGATGTGTCTCCCCTCATAAAGCACACAGACACAAGACATAGAGATTCTTGGACTAGGGAATCAGTTATTTGCAAGAAACATGAGTATTAGTGCAGAAGATTATTGTCAATGTAAGTGTTATCCTTTATCTCTTTTGAAAAAATATTTTATTATGATTCATTTCAGTGAAGTCAAGGAAGCGAAACAAGATGGCCAAGTTGGTCTAACACCTGTTCGGATTAAGCCCTGCTGCTGCTACCTCTCCCTTTCCACTTTGTCAGCAAAAGCATTTGGAGAGCTCACTAACTGACTGGAACCTGAATGTTTAAAAGTACTTATCGTCTCTTCCAAGCTTTATCCAGATCTACCTGACACATTTAGAGAGTGGTGAGTAAGACTCTTCCTCTTTCGGGTCTTCAGCTCCTGTATGCACTTCATATCTTACAATGAAGTTCTCTTCTAAGTTACCATTTTAGATGGGATTCCTGAGTCCCCCTGAAAACCACAGTGGATAGTACGGTCACTATTTCACTGTCAAAATAACGGCAGTCCTGCTGTGATCGCACTTGAGAGGGACATGGTAATAGTTTGTAAATCATTAAAGCTGCTTTCTTTTTCCTGGAGTTAATAGTAACAGTGTTTTCTGGAAAATCCAGGGCATTACAAGTGTCATAGCTCTGTATGCTGAGCTCGGCAGGAAAGATGCATGGACCAGGAAGAATCTGGTGCAAACATAGCTTCAGCATTTTAAAAACATCCAGGTTGACTATAGACATATGCACAGCCACATTCCAAAACATTGTTTGGAAAAAAACAACAGCTTAGAAATGTGAAATGAAACCAAAGCACTCAGGGTCGTTCTATAGAGTAGGAGAGCTAGTAACTTCTCTGTACAGTTTGACCCTCTGTAAATTATTGAGGCTGTGAATATAGTACCCTAAAAGGAACATTCCTTAAGTAGAGCTAAGTGAAATGCCTAAAGACAAGGCCAGCCTGTATGTGTGTGTATGTATGTTTTCATATGTGTGTACATGAGTGTGAGAGCCTATGCCCATGTATGTGTGTGTGTGTGTGTGTGTGTGTGTGTAGGTCAGGGGTCAATGCTGGGTATCTTTCTCAATATCTCTCTGTTTCTGTCTCTACCTATCTCTGTTTCTGTCTCTCTGTTTCTCTGCCTCTCTCTGTCTGTCTCTGTCTCTCTGTCTCTGTCTCTGTGTGTGTGTGTGTGTGTGTGTGTGTGTGTGTGTGTGTGTGTGTGCAACAGGGTCCCTCATTGAACCTGGAACTCACCAGCCTAGCTAGACTCTTTTGGCCAAGGATCTTGTATCCACCTCCTCAGCACTAGGATTTGATTTGCATGTCTGGCTTTCACTTTGAGTGCTGGGGACCTGAACTCAATCCTCATGCTTGTATGACAAGCACTTTACTGACCGAGTCATCTCCCCAGTCCCCACACTATTTTCTGAACCCTTGAAATCTGGTCAAGTTTTGTGTTGTTAAATATAGGAGTAAGCAAATTTTATTTATTTTGTTTGTCTAGCTATAAATGCAATAATCATTGAAAGTACCCACAAGTCTATTTTCTAATGCAGACAGCAAAAAGGGCTAGAATGTTTGGGGTCGAGAGTTATAATTCTGTTTTAAGGTATGTACTTCTCTGTCACTTAAAGTGAGTCTTTGTCCCTTTAGGAAGATGAAGATCAGAAATGATTAATGACTAGCCAAGCAAGACTTAGCTTAGGAAGAGACACATGTGAGAAGGAAGGTGCTGTCACACAGTCGAGTTCTCTAGAATGGAAGGGACAGGATGATGGCGGATGGTAGCAATGGCAGCACTGACGCAGACACCCAGCTGCATTGATGCTACCTTTGGTGGAATGTCTTCTTCCTGTCGTAACCAAGAGCTTCGGTCAAACTTCTCAATGCGTGTGGGGAGAGGAGGGTTTTCCGAGGTGGGATCGGAGTTCTGGCGTGGCATCTCGACCCGGTGCGAGGTCACATTTAGAGCCTCCTGGAACCCAGACAGGCCCTTTGTGGGTTGCTCATGCACTGACTGGGAAGCGGTCAAGGCAGGTCCCTGGGATTTGACAGCTACCAGCTGCGGGATCTAAGCACATAACACAGGAGCAGCATTATTAGAAGGCCATAGGTTGAAGGAACAAAAAGATCTGTATGCAAGAATTGAATCCATCAGAGCTGTGACAAGGCAGTTTTCAGTTAGCAGTAATTGCACTTGGGATAAACTTCACTGGCTGAGATACCCCTGCTATTCAAGGCTGCAGAGAGCACATCTCATGATTCACAATCTTTAATTTAGAAAATTCGTAGGGCTAACTCAAGGTTCCTAGGAACAGGTTCGGTTCGGAATTACCTGGAACTGCTAAGAAGTCAGGAAGCAGTACGGCAGTAGTAACAATTATTTTTATTCACTATTTCTTGGACAACAACATAAGATACTTTATAAGTTCTCCCAAGCTCCTCCCTATTAAGTCCTTAACTTTGACTTTAGATACTATTGTTCTATGAAAGAAGAAATACTCTAAATGTCTTTTCTTCTGTGAACTCACAGGGTTAAGATAACCATCCTCCTTATTCTGACATGAGAAATTCCAGGTACAAAGAGATTAAGCCACATCCTAGATTTTACAGTTGATATGCTGGGATCTGAGCTGGAACCCTCAGACACTGGGAGTGTTCTACTCCCAAGAGCGCATGCGCATGCATTTAACCTCTGTAGTGTACTCTTTCTCCACCCACCATGGTGTGTGTGTGTGTGCGCGAGTGTGCGCAGATGCACATGTATGTGTGGAGGCCAGAGGTGCCCACTTCAGAATGTTTATCCACTTTATCGTCTGTCAGTCTGTCTGTCTGTTTTTCTTTTCTTCCCTCCCTCCCTCCCTCCCTCCCTCCCTCCCTCCCTTCTTTCCTTCTCTCCCCTCCGTTCTTGAGGCAGGGTCTGTTTGTGAAGCTCAGGTTGGTCTGGAAGTCATTGTAGTCTGAGCTGGCCTTTAACAACTCACAGAGATCCACCTGCCTCTGTCTTCTGAGTGTGGGGATTAAAGGCTTGTGGCACACCTGGCTTTCACTTTGTTTAAAACAACAGGGTTTCCCACTGGCTTTGAACTTGCAATTTGACTAAGCTCCCTGGCTGACAAGCCCTAAGGATTCTCCTGACTCTACCTCCCCAGTGCTGGGATTACAAGTCTATACTACCATGTCTGGATTTTATATGTGCGTTCTCAGACTTGAACTTGGGTTCTTACATAGAAAGCACTTTACTGAATGGGCCACCTCCTCAGGTTCCATAGCATCCTGATTTCTACAGGACTGGCTGTCCCCACTGGGGACACACCATTTTCTGATATTGGGATACTTCTTGGGGCATTCTGGCAATATGGTGCTCTTGTTCATATAGGAATAACTTCTGGGATTTCTATTTGGCCTCTTAAGGAAATGCATCAAAATCCAAGGTGCAAGGGATCTCTCCTCCTGTACTACATTCCGTGACTACTGAAGCCTGTGCTCTATCTCTGGGTATACACTGCACCAAGTCCATCCGTGAGCCTGGCTCACATGGATCATGGCTGGAAAGAAATTTAGAGTGCTTCCTGACTAAACTGTTCATTGAAGCAGTATTGATTTCCTATCGGTTTCATAGAAGGCCCAGCCAAACCTGCTTTGGTCTATAATGTCTATTGGAAGGTCACAGCGACATGCTGGAAAAGTTCTCAAAGCTCTGTTCTGATGAGTGTTTTAAATAGACCATGTAAAGTTCATACAGATGCAAATATCTTTAAATACATTAAATAGCATTAAAACAAAATGCAATGCAGTATCTGGTACAAACCCACTCTCACTTTAGAAGACCATTCGAAGCACTCCTAAAATCCTGAAGCACCAAAAAAAGCTTTCCCCCAGACTCTACTCCTAGTCTCTCATTGCGTCAGAAGGGGCATTTCCCTACAGTGCTTTCCTTAACAAGGGGAAGGCTCATTATAAGGTCAAAGTAGGATTTTTTAAAGGAAGAGAAATCCTTGTAAAATATTCCTTTTTGGAGAGTCTGTAAGAGAGAATTACATACAGATAAAAACAACCAGAAGAAGGTATGTTGAGCTGGTTGGTGCTGAAAAATCTTGAATTTTGCTCATTACCACCAACTTAAAACACAAGAAAGCCTTGATTTTTATCATTATTCCTTTAAGCTCCAATTCAAACAGCAGTGCATATTTCAAAGGTGACCTCCAAATACACTGGAGAAGCCTTACCACAGCTGGGTGCCAGGAAGAAATTAAAGATGTTTGGGTGAGAAAGGTTGGATTACATTTTTTTCCCCTCGTGGAATTTCCATGTTCTATTTCACTTTGAATTTCATCTTTGAAGAACTTACCAGAAAGCTCATTTCCTAATAACGAAATAATCTTTCCCCACCAAGCATCTTCATGCAGTGATTCTAAGCCTATAAAGAACACCAGAATGAACCTGGAAGGCTTCTTAAAAAGACAGCCAGGGCTAACCCTGTGTCTCTGGTCAGTAAGTCTGATGCAGACCCAGGAATATGCATTTTTACCAAGTTCACTGGATGCTGCTGGCAGCTGGCTTGGTGAGCATGCCAGGAAAAATACTGGCTTAGAAGCCACACATTGATTTCACCAAGCCCATTTGACTCCTCCAGTCTAGATTTCTACCCATATTTCAAGTAAGGGAAGAATATATGTATATAGTTTACCTCAAAGGTCCATATATATGAATTTTAATTCTTCTGATTGTAACTACAAGAATGGCTGTCCCCACCTTATACTCTACAGCACTTGCATGGGTTTCCACAGGAGCCACTTTACCAAGAGGGATTTTGAAGTCAACTCAAGGTCATTAGCTCTATGCTTCCTGTCTATACTCAGGAGCCTCCTAATGCTGAGAGACTTCTGTTCTCATGGTATACTAAGGGTGTGTGCTTCATCAGTCTTCTGCCATGCTAGAATACTGTAGGCTTTTAATAAGCTTTCCTGGGCACAAGTGTCCACTGGAAGAGAAAGGAGGTTATTATACCTGGGGATCAACAGTTCTGAGCATTGGGGGTGTCCGAGCAGGCTGAACCCCACTAATGCTGAAGGACTCTGATCTTGGGGGCAGGTTGGGGTCAGAGATCCTATTGGCAACCTTGTGAGGCATGGCAGGTGAACTCTGTCGGTTGAGTCTTGAGCGTTCTTCTACCTAGAAGTCAAAGGAAAGAAAATCTCAATGGTTAGAAGTTGTTGCCCTGTTCAGTAAGGATTTTCTGTAGTAATTTTGATGCAGCCATTTTTAATGCCCTCTGAAAAATTCAAAGAGCCCAAATGTGCTATTTATGTTTCATAGCAAGATCTTTTTCTTCTTCTCTCTCTTTTTCTTTTCCTCTTTTCTTTTCTCCTTCTCATGGACGTATTTCCAGCAGGACACCTGAGCTCTTGACCTTACACCACCCATTAGCTTGTGTTATATCAGGTAACTGGGCATTCTTGGCCTGCTAAGAACTTGTCTTGCATCCCTTGAGCTAATAGCCTGCTGATTAGTCACAAAGCCATGGGATCAGGCAGGGAGATGGTGTGCCCTCCAGATAATCAAAGGGGACTATGGTAGGCATTGAGACAGCTTAGAGGAAAATAGAAACTTGCATTGGGTTGACTCATAAGACAGGGGGACAAGAGCCACACAAGGACTGGAGAGGGTGAAGTGGCACACAGGAGTTCTGCTCTTCTCTGCAGGCTGCTGATAGGCACGTGGGCGTCCTGGATGCTGCTTAATGACATGGCTGTCTTACACAGACTTCCTGTATCATTTTCTTTTTCTCTTTAGGGCCCTTTCCTTTCAATTGTCTCTCTCTGCTACCCAAAATATACTGCTCCTCCCCATGCTTTTCGTTCCCAGCATAGACTCTGTTACCCTACACCCTCCAATTCTCCTCACATTCTAGCCCTTCCTGTTCTCATCACCACCACCTTCTCTCCTTTCAACCCATTGTCATATCTTATTCCCCTGTGTTTCGGAGAATTGGTGCTTCTTTATAAACAGATTCTATGTCACTATCAGTCAGTCCATATCTATAGCAGCACATAGACTGTTCCCAAGGATGACTTGAAAGAGAAAGTTACATTAACTTTTCTGATGGACATCAAAAGACAAGACGGAAGTCATTAGTTAACAAAAGACTTTTGTTCTAGGTCTATCTTACACTGTCCTATATTTCTTAAGGGTCAACATAATGGTTGTGCCTTTCAAAATGGCGAGACAATGCCACACAGCACTCTCCTCCCCCTGACAACTCATCAGAGTGAACTCTTAACTCACTTCTGTTGACTCAGTATCCAGGTCTGTCTGCAAATGTTTATGTGCCAGCTAAGGGCTTTAAAATTTCTTTTTGCTGCCTGATTTCAAACAAAATTCCAAAGTCCTATTACTTCTTATTTTTCTTAGCTTCTTTTGAATCTTTTTAGAGAGAAGTCCAATTTCCTAGTGATAGTAAACCTGTTTTAACCTTAAACATTTAAACATGTTACATTAAGGATTAATCCACAGATAAGAAATACCCTGCTTTTATGAGGTGTAATATGAACATCTTTTCCCTCTCTATGGCTTTGTAGGGCATGTCCAATTGGCCTCTACTTGAGTTTGGTTTTGAAATTCCATGTCCTAGAAGTTTCCTACACACCAAATCATATTAGCCTCAAAGGCCATGGATATAAACTAGAAAAGTTCACTTTGTGAATCCATAAAGCATTATATCAGCAATAATTATTTGTCCGTTGTACTGAGCAAAAGACCAAAGCTATCTATTGTTACAAGACCTCAAAGCCCCAAGAAGACAACAACAGGCAAACAAAGCCCATAGTATACAATGCATCAATTCCAAATGCCAGACTCCTTGAAAGAAAAGACAGTAACCCTTCTTAGACCACTGAAATTCCTTATGTCTTCAGTTGTAAATTATACTACTTAAATAACTCATGTTTGAGCTCAGGAACTCTGGAGAGTAGATATGGTTCAGAGAAATATGTGACTCTCTATACTCTGGACACCTTATATCCCAGGGTTCAGTGGTGGTATAGAAATGAACATGGTTTTATCTGTTCAGAAACAAATGTATTCGGAGTGAGGCATACTTGTAATGATTATTGGTGTTACTTTGAACTGTCAAACACAGGGCAAAAAGTGAGTGCTGATTTTCACAGGTAAATTGTGTGTTTGATTAGTTGTGGATACAAGATACTAAGCAACTCCTGAGCATATTTTCTAAGTTATCAATCATGTCATGCCACAGATTGTACCCTGTGAGTATCTTAATCTGCAAGAGTCTATGTCATGTGAAATAAATAACCAGTTCTTAATATCCAGTCAATAACATCAAGATGGATCAATGTGCTGAAATTTCATAAGTAGGAGTTTGGACAACAAAGGTTGTAACAATGAGGCATTTGGAAATACATTCAAAAATTGTTATATTTATTTGTGCATGTGTGTGTGTGTGTTCTTGTGTGTGCACACACATACACATTACTTGTGTGCTACAAAACATACTGGAGTTCAAAAGAACCTCCGGGAGTTAGTTCTTTCCTAAGCATGTGTGTTCCAGGGATTGAACTCAGGTTGTCAGGTTTGAAAGCAAGCATCTTTAGCTGATGCTATCCTGCTGACCCTGACTGTAATTTTGTCTCAGAAAATCTTGCTTTTAAAGCCTTTGGGAAGGTTGGGACACAAAAGTGTGTTGCACCAAAATGTCCCCTTACATACTGAAGGAAAGGCATGAAACAAAACATTCAAAATGACATTTCACACACACACACACACACACAGAGAGAGAGAGAGAGAGAGAGAGAGAGAGAGAGAGAGAGAGAGAGAGAGAGAGAGAGAGAGAGCTGAATGTACTCAGAAGCAGCTTCTTCTACCTGGCAAAGGTCTGTCCCATTGATGACGACTTATGTTTACTAACTGAACAGACGGTGGTTATGTGAGAAGAAAAGAAAGCAGTTCCTCCACAGAGTGAAGATAAACACAGTTAAACTGGGGCACAGTCCAGATCCACTTCCATCTGCTTGAGGACAGGTCTAGCAGCAGAGGAGCTACTCCAACCTTCAGCTGTCAGAAAGATGGGAAAACCAGGGGTACCAATGATTCAGGAAGCAAAGAGCTTATTGCACAAGCATGTGGACCTGAGTTCAGATATCCAGAACCTCAGTAAAGCCAGATGTGAGATGTCTGTGGCACACATCTGTAACCTCAGTACTTTCACGGCAATATGAAAGGTGGAGGCACTAGAAGATCACATGCCAAGTGGCCTAGTACACACAGCAGGGGCTGGCGTGCACTGCAGAGAGACATGATGGAACACTAAAACAACAAAATAAGACCCCATGCATGGCCATGTAAACAGAGTATCCTGCTGCAAGCTGGTGTAAGTTAAAATACTATTTGGAGTGCTGAAGTGTGACACAGACCATCAGATGTCATTTTGGACACATGAGAAAGGAAAAAGAATTTCTATCATCCAAAAGATGAGAAAAAAAATGATCAAATTCAGCTGATGGACAGCACAGCATCATATTAACACTTCCACAGAGCTCATCTGTCCCCCACCCAAATCAAGACACAGTGGGAGAGTTCTGAAAGGAGTGAACTTCCCTAACCAGCTTTTTAATACAGAGACATTTGTGTGTTCCTTGCTGGCTGAAATTTGAAAATCAAATCCACAGCAACATCCAAGCCCAATAGAATACTACATCAAAGTTTGACAAGACTCCCAAAGACCGAATAGCCCCATCACTGGGTTGAAGGCCACACTGACAGGAGAATTCTGGGGCTTGCTGGCTGCCAGCCTAGCTCTAGCTTCAGTGACAGAGCCTATATTAAGGGAATAATGCACATTCCCCTCTGGCCTTCACTCATGCATGCATGGGTGCATGCACCTTAATGGTCACATACATACATATGCACATCCACAGGCATGCACACATGCACACACACACACACACACACACACACACACACATCACAGAGGGTGAAACATTGTATCCCATTGTTGATGAAAAATTGTCAATTTGGAATGAAACAAACAGAGGAGTAATCTAGAATGGAAGGAAAATAGTTTTGGAGATAGACTGATGGTTAGTTGGGAGCCAGATTATGTTAACTACATAGGAAGAGAAGGATGATCATGAAATTGTTTTAGAATGTCTGCACACAAGTCCAGAGGTGTATTAAGTCCCAAGGAAGAACATCCGTGCCTGGGAAGCCTCGTATCATGAATGATGTCACCCACTAGATGTCATCCGCTAGATGCCACCCAGACTTATGGTGGTGGCCAGAGAACCTCCTATCTGGAATGCTTGATGACACAGCTGTTCTGCTTGTGTGCCCAGCTGTTTGGTTTCTTTTACTGTGAGAGGTCTGGATAGGAAACAGGGAAATCAGGAGGTCAACAATACTGCCTTGATGCTCTCATAGATTTGTCCCCGGGAGAGCTTCTGAGAGCCCAAGAACTGTGAACTGATTATGAATAGAGAGCCAGGCCAAGGACTTAATGATGGGGACAGACAGACATAAGAAAACAGTGCTGTCAAGGCAGACAAGCTGGAATGGTAGAAGTGGATGGGTAGAAGTGGGAACCACACCATTCTCTCCCTTCTATGAGGGAAGGAATTTCTGGATGCTTTTCAAGGAGTTTTGTGACCTTCAAGTACCCCTTTCCTAAGCATATGCTAGTAGCTAGGAACATGAAAAGTCAGAAGGTGTATATCACAAAGAGGAGATGTAGTACTTCTTAGAAGAGTCTAAGTTCTTGGAAAGACATATGGTTTCATGCTTCTCCTCTGTGGTCCATGAGACTGTCTATGGCCTTCCTTAACTCTTGTGATAGACAAACAGTGGCTTGTCACTTTGAAAATGATGGATAGGTATTACATATGACTTTAGATTTCATTCCCAAGTTCAGCTACATTCCCACTTCAGTCCTAAGGAGTCCTGAGGCTTTAGTTGTTCTTCCAAACCACGCTGGCCTATCTTCCTTCCTCGAGTGATGAGCAATCAAGAGTCCCTGCTTGCAGCTGATATTTGCTTTGGATGATAATGGCATTAGCTTCATAGAGGGCAGCCCTTCAGCTTTCCCCACAGTGATGTGAGCTAGAGCTGTGAGTCTGACTCAGCTGGGGATCTGAACCCAGCATGGCCAAGAAATGGCTAAGCAGTGGAAGAAAGCAGTGCGCCTCTGCCAGCCAGGCGGTCTGCTGCTTAATAGCGCAGGGATTCTGCTTACCTAAAGAAGTGGTATAGATTATTAAGGAGTTCTGATGAGTAATCCTGATTGGCAACTTAATGAGACTTAGAGGCATCATGGGAACAAATCTCTGCACATATCTGTGAGGGGTTAGCTAGATTTGAGTAATTGGGGTGGGACGACCAGCCTTATATGTGGCTTGTACTATGCTATAGGCTGTAGCTCCACACTGAATAAGAAGGAGAATGCGAGCTGAGCAGAGGCATCCATGACTGTGTTTCCTCAGTCCTCGCTGTGAACACGAGGTGAGTGGCTGCCTCTTGCTCCTCTTGCTACACTTTCTCTGCCATGATGGACTGTATCTCCCAGAGCTGTAAGCCAAGATAAACTCCTCCTTTCTTAGGCTGCTATTGCAGGGTATTTAGTCATATTCTTTGATTGCTATCTCTCATTAACCACCATGATTAGGAGAAACATCATTTCTAGTATTTTCTATATATACTAAGATGAGATAGAAAAATAAAAGATTAAAAAAAAAACCAGAAATAGGCTCCTTGGTTCTAACCTAAACAGTCCTTTAAGTGATTAGTCATTTTCACAAGAATAAAAGGAAGTCACTAGATGTCACAAAGACTGATCTGGAAACTGATGTTCCCTGTGTGTGAGATTACAGCGATGCTCTGGCGGTTGCTCCTGTCTGGGTTACTGATTTTTGCTTTACCCTTTTGGTTTTAATCCATTTATTTCTCTCCAATCCAAATAGCTTTTAATTACATTTCATAACTAGTTCACCCCAGAGTCATATTCCTAAAATACCACCTTAGTCTAAGGGTTGAGAAAATGAGAGAATATTGCTTTGGGTATAATGAAAATGCATATCATAGCCACAGGCCTATGGCACATTGTGCACCTCTGAGACCTTAATGAACAAGGCAAGGTAAGCAGCAATGCCAGTGTCTAATACTAGCAGCCAGGCTATGGGCAGGATATAATTCATCCCAGAATCCTCTAAGATGTAAATGATATTTTTCCACTAACAGTCCATATGCCACATATCCACCAGGATTCTTGGTGTGAGTGTGGTAGGAGAAAGGTTTGTGTGTGAATGTGCATGTGTGTGTGGACATTGAAGGCCTGCCTCAGTTATCACTTCCCAGGTGCCTGCCATCATTGAGAGACTGAGTTTCTCAATGGGATCCAGAGCTCTTCTATTAGGACGGGCTAAATGACCAGTGAGCCCCAGGCATCCCTGTGTCTCTACCTCCCCATTTTCAGGATGACAAGCCTTTGCCACCATGCCTGGCTTTTCATATGGGGGCTGGGGATTACACGAAAGTCCGAGTGTTTACAAGGCCAAGCATTTCACCAACCAGACCATCTCCCTAGCTCCTCTAAATAAACTCCTATAAGGAAAATTACTTTTTATTGTTTTTCCCTACAAACACCCACTATATTCCCAGAGGTACACAAGAAAAACACTATGACCCGCATCAGACATGTGACCCCTCCTCTGCAGTGACACTATGGCTCCTCCAAAAGTGAAGCGTGTTTCTCCTAGTGGAGAGTCTGGTCAACGGACACAGCCTCTCTTCTGTCCTTACCTCCTTGGCCCAGGCAGGCTTCTCACTGGGACTCATGCCCTCCTTGTAATGGTACAGAGGCTTCTTCTCCAGGGGCCTCTGCTCCTGCCGCTGATGCTGGAGGGAAACCAGATAGTCTCTCTCTTGCTTTAGCTGCCTCTGCAGTCTTTCTGCTTGTCTCTGTTCTTCCAACTGTTTGCGCTTATATTCCTACCCGGAGCAGGAAGAGCAAAGAAGAGATCGTGTGACCACAGGGGACCACATCACCACATGGAGCAGCAGCAATGCATGTGAGGGAGGCAAAATGGAATGGAAACAGAACTCTGAGAAGGACAGGAGTGCTCCAAATAAGGGCAGGCCTCATGTTAGTGTCCACAGAAGAATATGTCAATAAAAACACCATTTCTTTAATGGCATTCCATTCACAATGTCACTTGAAAAGTGACATGTCCTCGGAGAACTGTAATACAGATGCAGGGCAGTCACACTGTCGCCCAAGAAGGAGTCATCCACTTCCTAATTTGGAGATTCAGCCATTCAAATGTGTGTGATTGAGTATACCACCAAATAATTAACCCGAGGTCATATCTAAATCATCGTTTCAATAAAACCTGGTCTCCTAAAGCTATTATCAAGCTCGAGTATAAGGCAAAACAAAACAAAACAAAACAAAACAAAACAAAATAACAGAATGCCATTGCATAAAAACTCCAGTTAAAAAAAAATAAAAAAGCTATCCGAGAAGCCCATTTGGAGAGCTGAGCGGTAATAACAAAAGTTCTTCCAGTGGATGCAGTGCGAGCCGGAGACAAACTGTGCCCCTTGTAAGGGCGGGAGTAACAGCCTGAAAATGAGGAATGACTGCAGGGTTGAGCGGACTGTGGCCGAGATGTGTTTGCTGTGATTGTCCTCCAGCATGTTTGCAAATGGCTTTAAGAATTACTCTGCAATAAACACAGCGGGTCTTGAGAGCAGTTTGAACTTCTAAAAGGGCTAGATTCATGCTAAACTTTCACAAAGAGATGGAGTTAATAAAGTGTGCTAAATGAGGACTTAGCAAACTGGGTCAAAAATTGTATGAAGCCTCTGTGAGATTCTGAGGTCTAGGGGATTAGAAGGGAGGACCTCATATTTTTAAGTGGCATGTTAGGAGGAGGAAGCACAAAGACATACATATGCACACACATGCTTGCGCATGTGCACACACATGCATGCACGCACACACGCACACGCATGTATACACACATGCAGGATGAACACCAAGCAGCCATGTGACTTTCCCATTACCAGAAGTAGAGCTTGCTCATGCAGTAGCTGCTGCTGTAAGATCTCTAACTGTCTTTGCTCTTCTTCTAGCTGTCGCCTGATGTATTCCTGAAGAGGCAGCAGTGGAGAATTGGGAAGAATAGAAAGAGAGGAAAAGAGAGAGAAAGAACCAGTGATTGCAAAGTGACAAGAGCTTTCAAGTAAAATGCAGGAGCGAGGAAGTGAAAAAAAATACCCAACACCTCACCCAACAGGAAGAGGAGGCCAGAGCAATGCCAAGCCTTTCAATGCAATCAAAAGCACAGCCCCTTTGCCCATAGCAGCTGACTGAGCTGGCTCAGCATTTCATTGTCTCTGTTTAGTTTTAACGAGACTACTACGTTAAAGCCTGTTATTAGGTTCCCCTCTTGTGGAGCCCATGGAATTATCAAGGCTGCAACGTTCTGAGGGCCCCATGCCAGCAGCAGGGATAGAACACATATTCAAGGTGAGCTTGCCCATGGTCTTTGTAATAGAAGTATCTCATAGCTCAGTGACTCAGGGCGTGAGTCAATCAATGGGAGAGGATACTATCAGGGGCTCAGAGTTGGAGTACAGAGATGGCCTGATCAGCATGGCTCATCTTCAGGGACGAAATAGTGGGAACTTGGTTCAGTTCGGGGAAGTCAGAAGTTCCAGGTATGCCAGGGGAGGTCCAAGTTTGGGTAGGAAGCATGGGCATTCTCAAGCTGTGCACTTGATGTTTTGAATAGGTAAGAACTGTTGCCTGAGTCAAAAAGCAAAAACCATAATAGAACAGTCCTTGCAGACCATGTCCTACGCCCCAGAGCTCCCTGGTGCTGCAGGTCCCATGAGGTCCTGTGTGAGTGGGCTCGCCACCTCCCGGTACCTGCTCATGCTCTGCCCGCCTCCTCTCCTCCTCCCTGCGCATCTGCTCTTCATAGTGCCGGCGCTGTTCCCGCTCCTGCTGCTTCCGAAGCTCCTTTTCTCGCCTTTGTTGCTGCGGGATGACAAGTAGACATGGTGATAGCAGTGGGCGTACTCTCAAGGACAGACACCCAAATGCCCCACGGATTTTCCTCCAGGGCTTCTGGGGGATGTTTTGGCAAGGAGGGATGGTATCAAGAGATCTCGAGTTATGGAGTCCACTTTTGGCACTTGCCATGTATGTGGACTCTAGTCAAGACACAGCGGTTGGAATTGTCAAACCAGGCTAGAAAAGACCATTGAACTGCCATAGACTCTGGAACTCCATTGCAACAACTAACAGTCTTCAGTCATTCTAATATCATGTCATACACAGATTCCAGAGGTATAAGGATCAGATAACTGGAGTTATCTGATCAAGGCCACAGACTGAACAGAAGTCACAGACTCCGATCCAGATTACATCTCTGTTGCTCACACCAAGCTACTTCTTTCGCCAGAGGATCCATTTGTGACTGAGGACTTTATCTTCTTGCTCAAGTTAGACCCTACGCTGAGGGGATACCACCATGATCTTATTGGCATCCCTATCTCATACAATTGCCCGAGAGTGGACAGAGCAATACACACATTATGTGCCTATCTTGTTTAATCTTCACAAAAGTCCTTGGAGTTAGATGCCTTCATCCCAGGTCTCTATGAGCGTATGGAGGCAGGGGGAGAGTAATTGTCCAAAGTCAGCCTTATGTTCCAGGACCTAAGCTCAAGTGTTATATGAATGGAGACATGGAAAAAAATAGCAGAAAACCCTCAATTTAATCTGGGTCTTCATTCCACTTTCAGGAAAGGAATGGGGTTAGGAGACCCAAGAACTAGGCAAAGGAGCTGGTATGGTACCATTCCTTATCTCTGGAACACTAGAGCCTGTGCAGGGCATGGGAAGGGCTTTTGTGGCTGCCCTAGTAATTGGAGTCACATGACTGGCATTTAGCATGAAGGACAACATTGCATGTTGCAATGCATAGGATCACACTTAAAACAATGCTCTCCAATAACATCTAGTTTGGGAACAGCTGTGGCCTTTTGTGTCAGATCCTGTACTAGCTTTGATTTCTCCTTCCTCAGGAGGTTCTGAGAAAATAGACTAGGGACCACACCCTGTAACATTCTCATAACTTCACTGCATAGTGAGATGGGGTGAGATGATCCAGAAAGAACAGCCTATGACCACATTACACTGACAAACCAGTTCTGTACAACCAGAGAAAAAGCCATGAAACCAGACACCAGAACGATGTCTGCCACAGGGTCTCAAAAAGCCAAGAAACCCAAGCAAAAGCCTTGCGGCTCTAGTTTTTGCTGCAGTCTTTCAGACATGCCACCTATCAGTGACCCGAGAACCTCAGGATGGAAGCTGTCCTTTGGGACTCAATATCTATCATTTCCTGACTTGACAACTCTTTGTCCGTCTTGCACTGTATGTGAAGAAGCCCCTCTGCAGGGCTTTGTGCGGCCAAATGATACAATAGGACTTGCATTTTCAGAAGGCCCCTAACAGTTATGGACAAGGGGAAAGCTAGACACCAACAAAGCAGGGTGAGGTTTTCTTGCAGACCTAGGCATGAGCCTCCAGGGCATCGATGATGTAGCACAGGCTGGCCAGGTCTCTCTGTTCATCCTTACTGTTGAGGAAGGAGAAGTAGCAAATGGAAGAAAGTTTCCAGATTTCTAGTCACTCTAAAATGAATGGCACGGATACCTGCTCAGGAATTGTAAGCAGGCTAACATAACATTGGGAGGTGCTGGAAACCCTGCATGTGAGGGTGTGTAGGCATCTTGGCTAAGGAGCACTCTGTATAGTGTAACAGAAGAGAGAAAGACAAGGACGTGTTGAGCCCAGAGAAGCAATTATTTGTTTCACAGAAAAAATAATTCAGAGGAACATGAAGGGAAAACGTCATCATAGGAACTGACTGAATAATCTGGATTACAGATCCAAAGCGCAGACATTTCCAACACTCGACTTGGGCTTCATTGGCATAAGCCCAAAGACTAAAACAATTATGTGGCAGCTCTGGCTCCTGCCTGAATATAGCCCTCATTTACCTAACATTTCAAGTTCGTTACTCTTACTGGTTTCTTTCTTGGGGAAAAAAAATAATCAAGACCTTTGAAGATTTAGCTGAATTTTATGTGGAAGAGTTGTCCATTTTCAGTCTGTCTGCCAGGAATCAATACTGTTCTATAATTACATGCCACTCAGGTTCCCACGCATGGTATACACAATATTGATCGTGACTCAAGAAGGCAGGGCTTCCCAAGTGTTCTGCACCTTCTGAGAAACACACGAAAATAATAGCTAATAACTAATAATGATCTCACTCGGATCAGCCACTGGTCACACACGGAGGCATCTGCCAGGGCTTTGGTCCCTTCTGTGAAGTTAGAAAAAGAAATTACTTTCCCAGCCTTCTGAGGGCAGCCTGCCAATTTCCACCTGTGTGTCTCAAGGTCGATGACTTTCCTAGAAAGATGTTTGCTTTCCCTCCTCCTGGGCATCATGTTGTTGGAGGGGACATATTAAAACATGTCAAAGAAAGTTTCTTGCTTCCAGGAGACCCTTACAAAGCCTTTGGTGGCTCTCACTAGAAGCACCTGTTTGAGGACAAGGCCAGTGCTCAACTCTGGCTCAACTTCAACGCTCACATGGGTCCTGGTACCTGGCAGATGCATGCAAAAATGTGTTGTGCTAAAGGGATACTGCATGACTGTAATCCTACCTAGTACTTGAAAGGCTGAGGCAGAAGGAATAGCACAAGGAATAACCTTACGATTAGTCAGGGCCATTCAGCAAGACTCCATCTCAAAAAATAATTTTTTTTTAACTCAACAGAGTAAAATCCTTGGTGCAAAATAAGAAAACAACACACTGTTTTGTTTTGGAATTTTCTTTCCAGTAGTAATGGTATGTATTTCATCATAATTCATATTACATTTTTGTGTTTGTTTTATCAAATTTGTGATTGAGATTGACGTTATTTGTGTGTCCCTGTTCCATACCAGCTTTTATCTTTTTAAAAGGATTTATTCACTGAATTTCTATTTATGTATATGTGTGTGTCTAAATGAATTTATGTGTATCACACACATACAATGCCCTAAGGGAGAGTGTTGGGATTCCTTCTATGCTCCACCCAACAGGCAGGTAGGCCTGGCTTGCTATAAAGGAGGCTCTTTGGCCCCTCCTTGCTTTCTGTCCCTTCTCTGTCTTTCTGACTAATTTCTCCCTGGTTCCTTTCTCCCTGTCTCCCTTTTCCCTCCTCCCTGTCTCTCTACCTGTTCCTGGCTGGCCTCTCCTCCTTCTCCTCCTCTGTCTGTCTGTCTGTCTGTCTGTCTTTCCCTGTCTCTACTTCCTTCTCAACTCCCCTTTCTATGCCCTAAATATACTCTATTCTATGCTATACCCATTGGTCTCTCAGGGGGAAGGATGTCTCAGCATGGGCCTGCCCCACTGCCCCTCCCACCCCACCATACCATGCTCTACAACACATATTCTTGACTCTTTTTATAAAACACAGCGGAGAGGAAGAAGGAATGCTAGATCAGAACTATTAAGACTGGATTCTGTTGTGTTTTATAAAAAGATAGGGAGAAGGAATATGTTTGGTGGATGTGTAGTCAGGTGTGGGGGAAGGGGATACCTCTGAGGGCCCATGCTGAGGCATCCCTTCCCCCTGAGGGACCAGTCACAGGATGGTATAGTGTAGAATAGAGTTTATTTAGGGCATGGGAAGGGGAGTTGAG